CACAGGCTTTATAAGTTCCTGATTGATTGTGTGGAATTAAGTTATTGGGCAGAGAACTAGCTAATGGAAACACATTGATGAAATCATTTTTGAGGGACATTAAATGGAACTTAAAGCTGAAATGGCTTTATAGATTTTTCACTCAAATTGTTTATGAACATTTATTGCCAGTAAATTATATTGTGTCAAAAGAAGGAATCAGTAGGTATGACTCTAATAGAAACCTTTTTGAAATAATAAAATTGCGAATAATTTATTATCCAAGAATGGATAGAGGATGGGATGGGAAATTCATCCTGATGAATGGTTGTTCACTCTGCAGCTTCTGGGGAAGTGAAAAATGGTGTCAAAATCAGAAACCTGATAGCACTTAGAAAGAAATGGTCGTCTTGAAAAGTATTAATAACTCATTTCATTGTACATGGGAATTGTTTTTAAAAGAGGGGCAATTGGGGGATTTAGCAAGTATTACTTGAGGGTATAAATAATGGTATTTGTTCATATCTCAAAGATGAGCAAGTAGAGAATGGCTTCGTCTGCTGAAAGAGCTAGTCTGAGGTAGTGGTCAAGGGCATCAGTTCCAGATCTGAAATATTAGAATTCTAATCCTGGCTCCTCCTCTTTGCTGTGTGACTCTAGAAAATTTCCTGACTTCTCTGAGTCTCATAACAGATAATATCCCTAATAATATATATTTAAAGTGCTTACCTCATAGAGTTATTCTAATGTTCAAATGAAAACAGTTTCAGTAGTTTCTACGTCATAGCAAGTGCTTTAAAAATGTTATTATTTTTTAATACTCATAGGGGTTCCAGATAAGAGGAGGAAAGAACTGGGTTCATGAAAACTTTAGTACTAGTAGCATTACTTTATTAACTATCATCTGCCAATTGCTATGTGCCAGAGATCTCATTACAGATCCCTAGGAGATGAGGAATACTATCAATATCCCTCCTTTTTAGAGAAAGAAGCTGAGCATCAGAGAGAGCGGATTTATGCCCAAGGTCACTTGGCTAATGAGAGATTTTGATACCTTTCCCTGAGAAACTATATTCATGAGTCTGTCCTCCAGTATATGTGGGACACACGGGCCCCTGTGGCCAAAGTCAGCAAAAAAACAAAATTGAAGGGCGTCTGGTTGGATGGTGGGCGCTAAGGGAACATGAGTGTCTCACCCTTCATTTTCATTTCACATCCAGAGCCTGTCAATCACCCACCTTCTCTACCTGTCAGAGTCTAGCCCCTCTGGTTTTTGCTGGTTTGCCATTTAGCAGGTGCCACATTAGCCTGGATTTGAGAAAACAACACATTAGAATTCAGTGCTGAAAGTGGGTTCTTCAGTCCAATGCTTGGGTGTGGCTCTCAGCTGTAGCACTCACTGCCCCTGTGATCATGAGCCCACATGTCTTTAGTCCCAGTCCTCCTCTTGTAGGATAAGCAGTCTTGGTCTGAGAAAGAGACCACAAACCTTTTGATCTCATTTTACTTTAGAGATATTTGTATTTAGCCCACATAGTATTCCTTTGTTAGCATATGCTTTTATTTTAAAGGTAGTTAAAATGCGTTGGATTGTGATTTTGGACACTTATTAAAAATGTAACACATGAGGAGTTTTATGACAATAATTTAGTACTCTCATAGAAATGACACTAACAGTTGGAAATGAGTCCAGTAGAAGCCTTGGGAGACTAAAGCCAGTTCTACATACGATCTTGCCATTGGCCACAGAGAGCTTAAGATCTAGTTGAAGAGGTGAGGTGAATGCCTGCAGGGTAAATAAAAACCTTAGATAGTGTGAGCTCAGTTCCAAATGAGTGTGTAGCCATTTTACAAATATCAGTTGAGGACCTAACACCGTGCTGGAAAATGAGAGTATGACAGAGAACCAGACACTCCTAGCCAGCGGCACAGCAAATGTGATCTCAGGTCAGAGAAAGCTGAGGACCCAAGCTCAGCTGTTCAATGGAGACCATGTTCTTTCTGCAAACATATAGCAAGTGCCTGTAATGTACTGGATGACTCTATTATAGCCTTTCCCCCCTTGGGATTTCTTTAGAAGGGTAGCAGAGCTAAAGGCCACCAGTTGCAGTAGTGTTGTTTCTTCTTAAGTCTAGTACAGCCAGTTGTAAGATACAAAGTCGCAGATGAGGTTTTGTTATTGTATCTGACAATATGTATATTGTTTCTGAAAAAAATGAAGAAACAGGCTCAGCACAGTCTGGACGGGATAAAGAATATGCCCCTAGGCTTTTGAGGTTCATTTTACATAAGAAAATGTAATCCCTTATTTTTGGATAATTGGTCAGAATAACTGTAATATATGTTCTACTATGTGCACATATTTTGGCATTGTCAAAAGTTGCAAATGTAGGTATTCTTTGGCTCCAAAGGCCTTATAATACGATGATCATAGTGGGCATGAGAAATAGGTAAAACATTAAGCTCGACAGCATTCTGTAACAGTTCAAATAACGAAGGCTGTCCATGGGCAATACTAACTGCCATATGGGTAAGTCAGACAATTGTGGCTGATTTGAAGAGAGGTAATGCTCTTTCTATTGCAGTTTTCATAGAATTCTTGGTAAGGGAAGGGGAGATCTGAGTTGGGACTAAAGAATATAGATAATTAAATAAACAGAAATAACTGTCCTTGCCTTAGTAAGATGTATAATTGTTCCGTTTAATTGTATTTTAATGGGGTTCAAATAGCTAAGAACTAAGCATCTCTAAGAATGTCGAAGGGAAGTTCTTATTAACTGCGGTAGTGACAGATGGGAGTTGTTCGATAACAGATTGGAGATGGTACTGAGAGGTGGCTGAGGGCATGCTCTTGGGTTTCAGACAGCCTAGAGCTACATCCCAATGTGTCACTCACTGCCCTATGACTCCTGCAGGCCTGTTTCATCCACTAGGCAGCCTCCACAGTGTCACTGGCCAAGATGTGTTTCACAGGATCACAAAAATATAAGAGATGAAGAATGTACACTCGGAACCCAAATTTAATACACACATATCAAAGGCTACATTATAATCTATAATCCAACCCATGCTTATTCAGTAATTGTATTGGTCAGAGTTCTCCAGAGAGACAAAACCAATAAGATATATAGATATATGAAGAGACTTATTGTAAGAAATCAGCTCACTCGGTTCTAGAGGCTGAGAAGTCCCATAATCTGCTGTCTAAGATGGAGACCTAGAGAGGCCAGTGGCATAATTAAGTCTGAGTCCAAATGCCTGAGGACCAGGGGAGTTGGTGGTGTCAATCTGAGCCTGGGAACCGGGAGCACTGAGAGCAGAAGATTGATGTCCCAGCTCAGTCAGGCACGGCGGGGGTTGGGGGCAGATTCCTCCTTCCTCCACATTTTTGTTTTTTCAGTCCCTCAGCAGGTAGGGTGATGCCACATTGGTAAGGACCAGCTGCTTTACTGGGCTCGCCAACTCATGCTAGTCTCGTCTGGAAATGTTTAGCTAAATATCTGGTCACCTTTGAGTCCATTCAAGTTGACACATAAGATTAACTATCACAGTTATAAAGAATATGACGAAGTTGAAATCACAAGAGCAAAATAAAAAATATGTACATAATAGGACAATGAACATTCTTATGAAATTTGCATCAAAAAAAGTTGTATTTTAATGGGGTTATGGAGACATTCTGATATATTTGGAATGATGTGGTTTGGAGTCTTGAAAAGTAAAAGTGTCTACAAGCAGAAAAAGATCTTAAATGTCCTCACACTAATGTCTCTATGCCTACTGCAGCTGTCAATTTTATGGGGGCATTGCAGGGAATAAATGAGCTACTACATATGAAATATACTGTGGTGTCTAGCATGTAGGAGTCATTCAGAATGTTTGTTTAGAAAAATAGTTATTATTTGCCAGGATTTTCTTTTAATAACTATATAGAAGGTTAAATCAAGGCACTATTTTCTGATGTTACACGTAATAGTCTCTTCCTCATATTAGAAAGATTAAATATTTTTATAGTTGCTACAGAAGTAAAGAAACTAATTCATTTTCCTAGACTTATCTTTATGCCAGGGTAAATCTGGATTTGGAATAACAATGGTAAATGGAGAATTTTTAAACATTATAACAATGCAAGAGATTTCTAGAAATTCACACATGAATGCAAGATATCATTCTGCCCCTTCTTATAGCATCAAAGAACTATGCCAAATGTATAAAAATAAACACCTTTACTTCAAAGTATAGGATATTGCCTAGCTCAGTTTAATTGAAAAACTAATATCCAGTGCAATTGCCTGTGATAAACTGAGTCTTAAATGATTTGAAAACACTTGGGAGCGGACAAATCAGATAATCACAATTTTTATGGCTAGAAAGGTTCAGCTGGTGTTGACAAGTTGTAAAGATAAAAGCTTATAGCAAAGTCAACAGCTAAATGTCTAGATTGGGTTGGGGATCAATGTTAATACTCATAGTGTAAAAGCACTGAACTTCAAATGATCTCATATTGTTCTGTTTAAGTTTTCAGGATAATAGTGAAGAACATTATTGACTGAAAACCTTGTGCTTAATTGTCATTAGGCAAATATCTTATAGTCTTACAGTGTTTTCTATCATCTGCCATTTCTACCGCTGTTTAGATGTTGTAAGTTATGTGATTTGTGCTCTGACTACAATAAGAGGGCTTCAGCTGCTGTTTTTCCAAACATTTTCAGTTGGGTGACTATTTATGAGAGGCAAGAGTCAGATTGTGCCATTTCTAGGCATCAATTTTTTTTTAAGCCAATGTAGAATTTGCCTCATGGCTTCACTCTGC